AATGAACAGTTGAGCACGCGGAGGAGCAGCTAGCCCAGTTAGCCGACGAGATCTTCATCCAGGCCAAGAAGCGCAACGTTCAAGATCTCGCCCATAACGGTGCTCGTCGCGCCCACTCCTACGCGGCGACGGCGTACTCGGCGAAGGCAGGCAGGCATCGGGCTCCCAGGGCAACAGGAAGCTACCATGGTTGATCTCGGGACTGACGTCAGCGGTGTCAGACGGAGATCGCAGTTGAAATCCAGATCGCGACAGAAGGACTCGAAGCACAGAGCAGGTCAGATTCTTAGGCTTACGCCACACCGCCGACCCCTTGTTTATGCCAATCTGGGGGTAGTAGAAGCTGCGAAGGGGTGAAAAGGCGAGTGATATTTGTTTGGTGTCTGTTCGCCGCCACCGCCAGAGGGTCTCGGGCAGTTCCGCGGGGAGGTCCGAGCGGACAGCGACACTGCGAGTTTTGGAGCCACTCGGGGGCCGTTTCGGAGCCTCTGGGGTGCTTCTTGGGGGTTCCTTGGGGCGTCTGGGCGGCCTCGTGAGGGCCTCTGGGGGCCTCTTGGGGCACTCTTGGGGCCCCCTGGGGCTCCTGGGGGCAGAAAGCTAGAGTTTCAACATGTTTGGTCGCCCTCTTGGGCCCCTCGTGGTGCCGTCTTGGAGCCCTCTTGGGCCGTCTTGGGGACCTCTTGGGCCGTGTTGGGGCCGTCTTGGGCCGTCTGGAGGCCGTCTTGGGGGCCTCTTGGGCCATCTTGGGGCTGTCTTTGGGGCCTCTTTGGCCGTCTTGGAGCGTCGGGAAGCCGGAAAGGCGGAAAAGCAAAACACATCGAAAAACACTATGGAAAATCAACAATTTTAGACTCTTGGGGCCCTCTTGGGAGGCTTGTTTGGGACCTCGGGGGCCGTCTTGGAGACCTCTTGGCCCGTCTTGGGGCCATCTTGGGCGTCTTGGAGGGGTCGTTTGGCTTCTCGGAGCCTTCGTGGGCCGTCTTGGAGGCCTCTTGGGGGCTTCTTGGCCCGTCTTGAGGCCCTCTTGGGCCCGGAAAAGCCCTGGAACCGCTCGCCCCGGCCGTGCTGCGCTCGTCCTGGCCCCCTCCCCGCCTCCAAATCGGCCCTCTTGGGCCGTCTTGAGGACCTCTTGGGCCGTCTTGGGGCCGTCCTGGGCCGTCTGGAGGCCGTCTTGGGGGCCTCTTGGGCCATCTTGGGGCTATCTTTGGGGCCTCGTCGCGCGTCTTGGAGCGTTGGGAAGCCGGAAAGGCGGAAAAGCAAAAAACGTCGAAGAACACTATGGAAAATCAACAATTTTAGACTCTTGGGGCCTTCTTGGGAGACTTGTATGGGACCTCGGGGGCCGCCTTGGAGACCTCTTGGCCCGTCTTGGGGCCATCTTGGGCGTCTTGGAGGCGTCGTTTGGCGTCTCGGAGCCTTCGTGGGCCGTCTTGGAGGCCTCTTGGAGCCTTCTTGGCCCGTCTTGAGGCCCTCTTGGGCCCGGAAAAGCCCTGGAACCGCTCGTCCCGGCCGTGCTGCGCTCGTCCCGGCCTTCTCACCCCCTCCAAATCGGCCCTCTTGGGCCGTCTTGGGGACCTCTTGGGCCGTGTTGGGGCCGTCTTGGGCCGTCTGGAGGCCGTCTTGGGGGCCTCTTGGGCCATCTTGGGGCTGTCTTTGGGGCCTCTTTGCCCGTCTTGGAGCGTCGGGAAGCCGGAAAGGCGGAAAAGCAAAAAACATAGAAAAACACTTTGGAAAATCACCAATTTTTGACTCTTTGGGCCCTCTTGGGAGGCTCATTTGGGACCTCAGGGGCCGTCTTGGAGACCTCTTGGCCCGTCTTGGGGCCATCGTGGGCGTCTTGGAGCGGTCGTTTGGCTTCTCGGAGCCTTCGTGGGCCGTCTTGGAGGCCTCTTGGGGGCTTCGTGGCCCGTCTTGAAGCCCTCTTGGGCCAGGAAAAGCCCCGTGGAGCGCTCGTCCCGGACCCCCCCCCCAGGAAAAGCCCCGTGGAGCGCTCGTCCCGGACCCCCCCCCCCCTCCAAATCGACCGGACCGGGCTCCCGGGGGAGGGGTTTGGGGAGGGGGAAGCATCTCACACGCCGATGATCCCCAAGGGGTCGGCGGATTTTCAAATTTCGCAGGATTGCCACCCGAGCCGCCAACATCAGTGATGGTTTGCCCCGCGCGGGCGCGGCGCCGCAGGGCACGTGCGGCCATGGGGCCTGGGGCTCCGCCCCCTGCCGAATCCCGCAGCTTCGCAGAGTGGCGATGCGGTCGGCCGCGGGCCCAGGGCCCAGGATGGCGGCGCCGTGCCATTTGAAAGACCCTGGGATTGCACTCCGACGGCAACATGTCAGCGAATGACACCATCAATGGCTGCACTGTCCAGGCATGCGCCGAAATGCCCGACAAGTTTGGACTAGCACGTACAGATGTTTAGTCATGGCTGGTACTAAGATGTGGCGCAAAGTGCATGGGCCGATTGCGGCAGTGCAAGCGACCCTTGTCCTATCTGAATGGGGGCCAACGCAGGCGGGCGGTTGGCATGGGCTGGAAGCACAAGGAGACGAAGGATGGCAATTCCCATTGATAGATGAGAATGGTCGGTGCGATACTGACGCGATCGAGTGCGCAGGGCCATTGGGAGACCTTGAGCGCGACTTCGACGACGCTGGAAGGAGGCAAGCGGCGACGCACAAACACGGCGACGACCTCGCAGAAGGCGGGGGTACATGGCACATCGGGCAGGAACGCAAGCGCTTCGCAGACAGCGGATTACGGCATGATTGGACGCACAACAACGCGGTGGTTGCTGGCGGGCAGTGGCCGCGAGATCGACAGATGCGTGCAGGGCGCCGATGCGATGCGAACTTATGTTGACGTTGCGGATTGGCTTCGGACACCTTGTTCCATTACATATACACCTACGCGCGCAATGCCGGCGACGACGACTTCCGCCATAAACTACCTCATTCCGGAGGCATGGGCCGGGGTCGAGGCTAATCCGACGCTCTTGCCCCGCAGCACACCTGCGCGACATCTCGCGCGCCCGGCCGTCCCAGATATCGACCAGCAGTACTGCGCCAGATCCTGTTGTCTCCGGGATGATCGGGCACCCGGACGCAAGCTTTTAACGTTATTGGGGGGGGGGGGGGGGTGCGGATCTCGGGGTTGCCATGTACAAGGCCACCTCCGACGCAGGGTTGGGGGTGGCATCGCAGCGACGAAGCGCGTCGACGGCCAACGGCGCATGGCGGCAGGTGTTCTGGCAGGCCTCCCTGGCAGAAGTCAAGCAGGGCCCAGAGCCCAGAGCTGAACTCGTTGCATCCGCGATCGCGATCGAGGAGACCCAGCTCGATATTGCGTGCGTCGCGGACCACTACCCGCTGGTGAACGCTTGGAACAGAAGCCGAGCGCGCGAACCAGGACGGGGCGACCATGCAGAGATATGGGCAAGCATCAACAGGGCGATCATCAACACAGGTGACCGCCATATCGAGTGGACGCCGTCGCATCATGGCGACCCTGGCGAAGAGCTACTTCACCCGATATTCGCCATGGGCAACGCGCGCGCGGACGCGCTGGCCACAGTCGCTGCAGAAACTTCATGGTAGTGAGTTCTGACCCCGTTACCTAGGGCGGACGGGTGAGGCGCGATCGCAGCACGCGTCAGGCAATGAGCGCCGCGTGCGCTGGCAGTTGCAGCGGACGCTGACTTGCGGTGGGCTGACAGACCGACCGCCGCTACCCCGAAGTTCAGGGTCGACAAGTGAGCACGGGCGGCACAAGCTTCGAGGCACGAGATGGCCAAGCTCAAGGACAAATTGTTATGTAATGCATGCAGACAGTACGTGGCCGCGGACGCCCTGCAGGAGCTCGCGGCTACCGAGTGCGACGCGACTTTCGCATCAGCAGCCGAGATCCTCGAAGTCAAAGGAGATCGAGTCATGGGCGGCGGCAAGAGAAGATTCCACACGCGTGGTTAATGACTGAACCAAGTATGGCCTCGTTTTTGCGCGTCAAGTGCACGGCATGCGTCGCCGCGATTGGCAGAGGTCCTCGAGAAGTATGCAACAAAAAGGTCACCAATAACGGCCATGACGCACTCAACCGCATACGCGATGGCAAGTGCCCATGCTATCATGGACCGCCGAGAGCAGCAATTGAAGCAGCACAAGCTTGCGTTGTTCGGGGGATTCACGTTCAAGAAAGATTGGCTGCTGCCGTTCCTCATGCCATGCCGTGTTGGCACCACCTGCGCCACCTGCAGTTCCCAAAGCCAGAGCCCGAAGAAGGACGACCATCCGGCAGAAGCTACTGCACACGACGAAGGTCATCGTCCCCAGCGGCGAGAACAGCAGTCGCAGGACGGGCGCTACCCGCAGTCCGACAACGGCGAGTTCATGCACGACCTCGACGATTTCTTCGGGGTATCCGGCGGCAGTTTGGAATGTGGTATCCCGATTACGGCGCTGTCATCAATTGCGAGCCGTTTGGGGACAGGTCAATGAGGGCGGATGCAAGCCAGACTTCTGTTGTGGCGGAGCGGCGAGCTCGAGTTAGGCCCCTGGCGAATGTGGGCCTCGTTTCGAGTTCGTTTCCGCCACGCCCGCCGACGAGAAGCCCAGTGCCCGCCGTTTGCGAGGCGCGGGGGTGGGCCCCGACCGAGACCAACACGGCCGTCGAGAGGCGGAAGTAATTGAAGGATACGGAAACCACGGGTCCGCCGTGTCAAACAGGGGTTTCGATGTCTGTCTTGGGGTAGCGGCCTAAGTGGCATGCGTCACCGAATCTTCTTCTTCCTCCTCCTCCTCCTCCTCCTCCTCCTCCTCCTCCTCCTCCTCCTCCTCCTCCTCCGCTTATCCTCCTCCGCCTCCTCCTCCTCCTCCTTTCCTCCTGTTCCTCCTCCTCTTCCTCAGCAGCAGCAGCACCACCATCATCGTCATCGACATCGCCGCCGACCCTTTCTCCCGCCCTTTCCCCCCGCGGCGGCGCGACGGCGGATAACCCCGCCCCGGCGGCAGGTCCACCGTGAGCATCACGGCCATCGTTCCCGGGGTCGTGCTCGCCGCGGCGCCCTCGGCCCGCCGCGGCTCCGCCTCGGGGGTTCGGGCCAGAGGAGCAGGAGGCCCCAAGGCGATGCTGGAACGTCTTCGGCTTGCCCAAAAGGTCAGGACAGTGATCCTCTTCCCCTGCTCCCATCCAGCCTGGACGAAAATGGTCCTCTCACCCTCCTCCTCCCCCATCTCCCCCCCCGTCTCCCATCCTCCTCTTCCGGGATGATAGGCATCCTCTCCATCCTCCTCCTCCTCCTCCTCCTCCTCCTCCTCCTCCTCCTCCTCCTCCTCCTCCTCCTCCTCCTCCTCCTCCTCTTCCTCCCATCCTCTTCCAGTCCCCTCTCCCTCCCTCCTCATCCTACCCAGCCTGGGCGTGGCTGTTCGAGGAGGGCGAGGGCGAGGAGGAGGAGGAGGGGGAGGAGGAACCTGGACGTGGATGTTGAAGGAGGGCGACGGCGACGTTGAGGAGGAGGAGGAGGAGCAGGAGGAGGAGCAGCGCGCCGTCCCCGTCGGCTCTTCCCCTGGCCCCGCGCAGGCCAGCCGGCACAGCCACACGGTCCTCCTCCTCTTCCTCCTCCTCCTCCTCCTCCTCCTCCTCCTCCTCCCCCGCCTCCTCCTCCTCCTCCTCCTCCTCCTCCGCCTCCTCCTCCTTCCCCTCCTCCCCCTCGTCCTCCTCCTCCTCCTCCTCCTCCTCCTCCTCCTCGCCAAACGGCCGCACGATGGATCGTACCATTGTGTCTCCTTGGTTCGTCGACACCGCCGCCCGTCATGGCAATGATGCGCTCAAAACTTTCCAAGGCTTCAGGGGATTCCGCGACGCCCTGACGATCCGCCAGGGCTATACGTTTTGGAACAATGGAGCGCATCCTTAGTCAGTCCCACTATGAAATCCTTTTTTTTGTGAGGCGGGGAATTCGATCGTCGGGGGCCTCGGCGGAAGGTGGTTGTGGATACGTATAGTTATATTTACACATATGGGTTTGTCTTTGTGTATAGCTTCATGTGTGTATATATATATATATATGTACATGTATATACATGTATGTATGTGTATATGTATATGTATGTATGTTTGTATACATGCATGTATGTATGTATGTATGTATGTTTGTTCGTATGTATGTATACATGTATACATGTATACATGTATGTATGTATGCATGCATGTGTTATGTATGTATGTATGTATGTGTGTATGTATGTATGTATGTATGTATGTATGTATGTATGTATGCGTGTATGTGTGTATGTATGTATGTATGTATGTATGTATGTATGTATGTATGTGTATGTGCGTGTATGTATGTATGTATGTATGTATGTATGTATGTATGACTGTATGTATGTATGTATGAATGTACGTATGCATGCACGTATGTATGTATGTATGTATGTATGTGTGCATGTATGTATGAATGTATGTATGCATCTATGCATACATGTATGTATGTATGTATGTATGTATGTATGTATGTATGTATGTATGTATGTGCATGTATGTATGCATGCATGCATGCATGCATGCATGTATGTATGCATGCATGTATGTATGTATGTATGTATGTATGTATGTATGTATGTATGTGTGCATGTGTGTATGTGTGTATATGTATATGCATATATACCCACATGAATATGTGTATATATATGTGATAAATACCGCACCCCCGACCCCGGGTCCCACACCTCCCCGGAACGTCTCGGGAATGCTCCCGGTACCGCTCCCCTGGCCTTTCTGGGGAGCCTCCACAGCGCTCCAGGAGGGCCCAGGATGCCGCCCAGGAGTCGCCAGAATGCGGAAGGATGGCCCAAGACGCTCTCAAGCAGCCCAAGTCAGCTTTTCCGACGGCTCTCCAGGCTCCCAGGTGGCCTCCAAGAGACCCCAAGAGAGGTCCGAGAGGCGTCCCAGGACGGCCCGAGGAGGCCAAAATCGTAGATTTGCATTTGTTTCTGTCTATGTTTTTGGCTTTTGCGTTTTCGAGCTTCCAACGCTCCAAGAACGCCGAAGGGCCGACAAAGACCGCCCCAAGACCACCCAAGAGTCTTAGGACGGCCCCAAGACGGGCCAAGAAGGCTCCAAGATTGCCGAAGAGGCGCCCAGGACAGCCCCAGACCACCCCAGAACGGGCCCAAGATGACCCAAGAGCGGGAGCAGGAGGCTTCCAGAGACCTCCGAGAGGCCTCCGGGACCCCCCAGAGGCCCCCCAAACACCCCCGATCCCAGAGAGGCCCCAAAAAGACCCCGATGAGGCTCCAAGAACAGCCCAAGAGAGTTGCTAGAGCCATCCCGAGAGAGCCCAAAGAGGGTAACATCGTTGATTTTCCAATGATTGCCTATTGTTTTTCGCCTTCTCACGTTTTCCCGCTTCCAACCCTCGAAGATCAAGGATTCTGAAAAACAAAAAAAAAAGAATTTCAATAAGTCCTTTTTTAAGTGGACTCCTACTCGGAGATCCCACACATCCCCTGACATCTGGCCAGTACCGCGCCTCCCAGCTTCCTGGGGGGCCCCCAAGACGCCCAAGGACAGCCCAAGACGACCCCAAGGAGCCCCCAGAACGTAAAGAACGGCCCAACACGCTTCCGCGCAGCCCGAGACACCCTTCCGACGGCCTCCAGAAGGCTTCCAGAACCCCCAGGGGGTCCGGAAGATCCCACACCCTTGAGGGGCCCTGCTAACAAAACCCGCGAGGCACAAACAAAAAACAGCGCCGAACAGCGCCGAGGAACTGGACAAAAATGGAAGTCCCAAAACTATATTTTTTCCCAGGTTTGGTTCACGGTCTACTCTTCCACAACAGACCACAATTCAGGCCCCCCTTTCCCAAAAAAAAACGCAGGAAGCTTTTGAGGGCCCCAAATCGTTGAATTCCTAAAAGGAAATGCATGATTTCTGCGTTTCCGCACTTCCCCTTCTAGGCGATTCCGAGGCTTGCGCAGGGCCTCCAAGGGAGTCCCTGGACACGAGAAGCGACCAACATGATATTACATGAGTTAGCCTATCAAGCCTAGCTAGAACTTGAGCGAGCGCGAAGCGCGCGCGATGGTTCTCGTATATATTGAGCGAGCGCGAAGCGCGCGCGATGGTTCTAGTGTATATATACACATGTATCTATACAGGTTACACATCGATCTGTATCCACCAGGGCCCGAACATCCTACATATACATTTGTGTATATACATACATATATATGTGTGTGTGCGTGTGTGTCAGAGTAGTCATACCGGTCGCTGTGTTCTCGCAATTTCGCTCGGGACAACCTCAACATTCTGAAAATGGATGGCACCCCTCAAGCAGATCGTGGCGTCAGGGTCCACACTCAGCGTTGCTCACCCTGTGTTGAAATAACCTATTCACACGCACTTTGGAATTTATTGCTTCTGAGCCCGAATCAGAACATTGGAGATTCGCCTGAGGCAGGGATGCTCCCTCTCCCTGGATCAAGTGGGCTGCATCGGGCTCCTGGTGGATCAGCGGAGACATTGTTGGTGGCTCCTGCAGAAGGTCGACCCACCGTCAGTTGAAGAAGCGCATCGATCGTAATGCAGGCAAGTGGAGTTCGGGGACAGGCCCATGGGCTGAGAGCTCTTGTGGGGATGAGGAATCGAATAGCGGCTGCCGCGAAGGCTCAAGGCGAACAAGGCTTAAGCATGCTACGGGGAAGGATCACTCCGGCTGAAACAGCGCCTGGTGCCCCGAGGGCTTTTCGAAAGTATATAAGAGATACGGCGAGTTGTCACCCAAACATTTGCAGCAGGAGTAAGGACTTTTCGGACGTGCTGCGATGTAAAACGTTTTGGGGGGTCTGGCGCGCCCAGCCGAGCTGTGAGTCGTTACCGTCGTTCCCTCTCCGCCTTTGGTGTGCGAGCCTGCGCGCGCGTTCCGCGTGTTTGGCTCAAGTGACTTGTGAGGATTGGGCGCGTCCGCGCCCGGACAGGAAAATGGTGTGCTCGTTATTCGAAGCCCGCGCGCATCATTCATACTAGTAGTTTCACCCACATACGGAACATACCAGTCATGTCGCACGACGTCGTTAGAGAACATGCTTGCTGCAAGAGCCATAAGAACGGGTCTCTTGCGGTAGGAGATGAGATCATGTGACCGTCAGTGAAAACACATTTCCGGACGAAGGGCTTCATGAGGAAGTATCAGGCAGGAACCGCCGTTGTTATGATAATACATGGGGGCCAGGAGCACAGTCTGAGACACCATTTGGTGAGATGCGAGGAGGTTTCCTGCAAGCCTCGTCTGGGGGCGAATTGCGGGGAAGTCGTGAGGGGGAGCCCTCGAGGTGCCCCGGATCGCCACAGGGAGCTCCACGGGGCTGCAGGACACTGGAGGAGACTTGCGGAGAAGGAGGCCTCCGGAGGCCCCCGGGAGCCGCAGGAGGCACCAGGAAACTCCAGGAGGCCCCAGCGCCACCAGGAACTCCCCAAAAGGTCCAGGGAGTTCCCCAGGAGGAGACAAGAGTGCGGGCAATAGTTTTCTATCCACATCCAGTGCGTCTTTGAGTTTGGGGCTCGCTTCCCCAGAAGCCAGAGGCGCACTGGATGTGGATGCGAACCTGGCCCCCAAAGGCCCGATTTCTATCCGTATCCAGTGCGGCTCGGCCTTGCCTTGCGGCACCCCTTCCCACAAAGTTCAAGACGCTCTGGATATGGATAGAAGTCTTGACCTGTCCGTGAGGAGGCCGCAGGAGGTCCAACAAAACACCCCACGAGGCCAAGAAAGCCCTGGGAGGCACCATGAGGTTCAAGGAGGCCCGGCGATGCGCCAGGAGGTAAGAGGAAGCCGGGGGAGGAGGCAGGAGGCCCCGGGAGGACGCATGAGGACGAGGAGTTGCAGGGGGGGGAGGATGCCAGGGCATGAGGAGGAGGAGGAGGAGGAGGAGGAGGAGGAGAGGGAGAGGCAAGATGATACACGATGACGGTGGCATTGACGATGACGATGACGACGACAGCGACGACAATGATGATGACCATGACGATGGCGACGAAGACTATGGTGATGA